TCTATCTATCATACTCTCAATGCTAGGGAATAGAACAGTGCCAAAGCTATATGATGTACATAACCTATTTATGTATTTGGTGTGGGAAATGAAAGCTAATTCCAGTACCCTATAGAATCAAGTAGGTTTCATGTAGTTTTAAAACTTTCCATGAAGAAATAAGTTGGCTCGCATGTTAATAACTTTTTTCTCCTTGAGTGAAACATCTTCCTATAAACATTATAAATTTGAAATAAATATTTCTGTTTGGCTTCAAAACAAAATTAAAAACAAAACAAAAACTTCTGACCTATAACTGCTGCTTTCTCTGAAAACTACAAGGAAATTAGTGTTTGGGTAGGAGGAGAGATGGGGGAAAATAATTTTCATTGTGAACTTTAATTTTCATTCTTATTTTTAACTTAAAATATTGGTGTGATGGATGACTGCTGAGTGTGATTTCTGATGAAGGAGATGTAACTGTTTTTAATGATTCTTATTCATGTTCATACTTTTTTTTGAGGGGGGGGGAAAAACAGTTAAAATCATCAAAGGGGGAGCAGTTTGTCAGTTACAGACAGTCTCCTGTCCACTGGGACCTCCAGCAGATCTGGTCATTCTCTATATGAATGAAGTGTTTAGTGCTGCGCTGTTTTACATAGTGTTTTCATGAATGATCTGAAAGAGGAAGCGGAAAGTACATTAATTACATCTGCAGATGATACACAGCCAGAGAGCTGCAGCAGCTGGAAAATGGCAAGAAGTATAAATTGATCCAGAGAGATTTTAGTAATGTGCAGGAATTAACTAAATGAGATTTGACTTGCAAAGATTGCTAGTACACTTAGCGAAAAAACATTATACTAATCACAGGTATGTTGTATGTAAAATTAATTTAGTAAAGTGTTAAAGATGAGCTTTCACTCATGTAGTAGTAAAGATCTCTTTATCTTGAGTTCTTACTTGGTGGCTGTTTTTAATGCTAACTTGACCCTTTAATCACTTCTACTGGGCCTTACTAGAATTCTTCACTACAGCTGTTTTGGCAGTGAAGGACAAATATTATCCCTCATTTAAGCTGCATTCAAGAAAAGCAATATGCCAGAAGACAAACAAAAACCTAATACCTCCTTTTCTTACTGTGACTTCTTTTCAAAGATTATATTTTATCTGAATTCTGTTGTATCGGTGCTGCAAATTACAAGTCTGTCCAGAATTCAAAATCCTTAGACCTGAAATTTTGGCATTTTTTCTGTCTGTCTCCTTGCTGGGTGTCTGCTGCTTTGCAGCTTGGGTCCCACTAGGACTTTAGTGTGAAAGAGTCCCCAGATTTCATTTTCCTTATAATGTTTTATGAATGGCTAGGACTTTGCCGTGATTCTCTAGAAATGACATGAATTTGGCTGCTCTTCTGGCTTATCAGTCTCTCAGCACCAGGCACTTCACGGGAGCAAATGCCAACCAGTTGTAATTTGCTCAGATAACAATGTTACTATTGTTAGCAGTTAGCATTTCTGTCTATGCAATTGGCAGTATAATAGCTAATTGTAACAAATAGTTTCACTATTACTACCCCACTATAACTACTAGGGTAAAAACACTGCTCATTATACTTTGTATAGGATTCTGTATGAAGAAGGCAAAGCAAAAAACATAACCAAAATCATGTTACTTTTGAGTAAATTAGGGCCTTGTAACCCAGTAGACCTGGGATGGTTTTTTGCACTGACCTGGTGGAAGTAGCTGCAAGGTAGCCAGAGTAAATGTTTCTGAAGCTCTGCTGTGATAACATTAGATGGTGGAGAGGAAAAAATAAATAAATGAATAAATAGAAATAAAAAGGATACAGAAGAATAATTAGAATAATTATTTTGCAGAAGTATCGCGATTTTTTTTTTCAAATGCCATGTTACTACCTGCCTAAGAAAATGCCTTCTTTACTTACCTTTTGTGGACCTGCTAGCAGCAGTCCACTGATAATAAAATGAGACATGGAAATTATTACAGTGAACGGTTTCCTGTAAGAAATGTAATAGTCACTGCTTTATGAAGACTAAATTCTGCCTGTCACTGTGTTGGTTGGTATGCAAGCTGCATAAGGAGTTACTTTCAGTTCCAGCATTTTCACGGTAAGATTGGACTCTGAAATGAACACCTAGAAAGAGAGTCAGCTAACGCAGCGTGTGTCTCTGGGGGTGTAGGAAATGTGGCCAGCACCTCCTCTCTTGACTGGCACATCAGCAGTAGCTAATCAGGCTGGAATGCCTTTCTTGCCTATGCTATCTGCAGTGCAGCCTCTCCCCCAGCTCTGTTTTGGGAATTCATCAAAAAAAGATAGTGCCCAAAGAGCCTGGTTTGATTCCCCCCTCCCCCCGCCTTTTATAATAAAGGATGGTCTTTTTTCCTTACAGAGCTTAAGAAATCTTTTCATGAGAGAGTTCCCAGAGGATGAACTTTGTAGTTTCAGAGCTCCACTTTGTACAAGCACACCTGATTTATACCACTTGTTTAAATAAAGGACTCAATTGTTGTTTATTTATAATGACATACTTTTGAAATATCTAGCTGAGAATTTGGTATGGTTTTGATTGTGAGTAGATCTAAGCTTTCAGGTGAAATGTATTGTCATTCTCTTGTTTTAGAAGGAGCACTAGTATTTTATTGTCTGTTCTGTATAAACTGTGAGTTGGACAATGTGACTTTGTCCTGATTTTTTGCCTTTGCCTCATTCTGACTGACTGTATTGAAAGTACAAGCCAAAAACATTTAGCTCTTCTTCCTGTTGCCTTTGCACTATAAGAATGTAGAAGATTACATTTCTGTTTATCTGTGCTAGTGTGCTTCTGTATCTCTATGGCTAGTATTTAAGTGTGGCATGAATTGTTTATACATATAGCTTGTTGGTGGCTTGCAAGTGATGAAAAACAGTTTCCTTTACACAAATGTCCATCTTTGTTAATGCCACCAAACAGCAAGCCTGATATCCAAGGAATATGCGTCACTGTGGGTTACTGATAATGTAATCTGACTTCCCAAAATAAATCAAATGCATCTTTTAACTATTACAGTTAACTATTATGATCAAATGCACATAAGCTAAAGAAAAACAGTATGTTACAGGCTGTACACATGAATTTAGAAAAAGTCAATGTCTAGTGTGAACCTTAGTTTTGCTGTGTGTTCTGCTAAACTCACCATAGTGAAGAAGCTCGTAATGATTTCATGGATGGCTCCAGAGCTTTCCACAGATAGATTATCTAATCTGGTTTAAGAACCGTTATTTGTTTCAAACAATACTTTAAAATCCTTGTAAGCAGTTTTTACATGGACTTTTAGTCAAAACCTTACATATAGCCATCTTTAAGTCCACTTTTTAAAAAGTGCTAACAACTGCTACATATTTTTTTTTTCATGGATGACTTTAATTACTTGCCATATGTACCTGAGTAAAACGGATTAATATGAGAAGAAAAGTGAATGAACATGGATTTCCTTGGTGGTTATTATTTTAGTGTGAGAAATGCAGTAACGCAGATCAAACTCTTCCCTGGAATGTTTCACTTGTGTTTTTCGAAGATGGTTTTGCCGTTACTCTTCAAGTTGAAAAGAGGAATATGCTTGATTTTTTGGAGAAACAACACAGCAGTTCTGTGAATCCTGCCAAAATTTCCTAGATGTGAGAGAACCTGGACTCTGTTCATGTGCCCCTCATTAACTCCGTCAGGCATTTCCAAGCAAAGTCAAGTCACTTAATGCATTCGTTGCTGAAAAACCTGATTCCATAGAAGGTTATTTTTTGTTTTGTTTTCTTTCAATATAGCCCAAAATACTTATCTCTATACCAACTCCCTGAACTGGCTTTTTGCCAAGTTAGGCAAATAAATGTCCATGCTGCCTTAGTGGAGGATTGAGCATGTGCTGCTAGTCTTGGAGAGAGGTGTCGGACATGTGTTTATGGCTTCTGTAGGCTGAAACAGCTGTGGAAGTGCACCTCAGATAGTTTATATTCCCCTTCATCCAGCCTCTTGAGAGCACCAAATTCGGGTCCTTCATCTCTGTTTTGCTTTTATTTCGATAACATTTGTGACCCTGTTAAAGCGAGCCTCATATCCTTCTCCTTCAGCTGCCTCAAACAGTCACCATGAACATCATTGTCAGTCATCATGAGCATAATATCTTCATGGTGCTTTGAGTGTTTATAGCTCAGCTGATACTAATTTGTGCATATGGCTGAGCTATTACTCCCCTATCCCTAGAAACAACAGGCTTCTGCCTGACAGAACAGGCAGAACAAGTCTGTTCAGGGTATTCATGCATTCTGCATGTCATCTTCATTTCTCAAGAAATACAACTATTGATTCAAGATCCTATCCTTAAATCTCCCTGAAAATATTGGAGTTATCCTTTTTATTGAGTTTAGCTATCAAGAGCTTGTGACTGCTCTCTTAAGGAGAAAACCTGTGGGCTAGATTTCCTCTCTCAAGTATATATAAAGATCATAGATAGCCATTTATAATGTTACTTTGTCAAAGACCTCTAATATTTCTTTGATTTATCAGCAGTATTTATGTGGTTGAGTTGCTACTGTGGTTCCTGGCATAGGCAGTAAGATATATCTTTCTTTCATCAGATGAGGTTCTCAGCCTCTTCTGTAAAACATTTGGTTGCCCCTTTGTACTCCTGTCTGCATCTGTAGCACAACAGGTTGGTGCTACAGCCTGTTAACGCTTAATGCTGTATTTCTTTTCCCATGCTCAAGAGGGACATCACTGCTTACGCTCCGTACTTATTGCATAGTGGGTTAACACACATTGGGTGCATAAAAAAACTGGCACGTTGTTTATTCCTTTATTTCACATACTTCTTTTTGTGACAAATTTATTAAGATATCATTTTGAATGGAAGGACTGTAAGATATTCCTTATGTCTATTCTTATTAAGTTTATATCTGTTTTTCAGAAGCAGGATTTTGTGTCCTTTCTAGTGCTGGTGAGGTAACTTGCTTTTTCCTTTTGTTCCAGTTTAGACTGGGGTCTCTGAAGCTGCAGAAGGTCTTGAGGCCAGCTGAAGTGATTAAAGAGTTGATTGCTCATTGCCTGGATCGCTTGGAGGGGCTGCAGGCGAAAAATGAGCACCTGCAAAAGGAAAATGAAAATCTCTTCTGTGATTGGAGTGACATGGAGAAACGGTAAGTGTAAAAGTGAATTCATAGGTTATTCTTTTAAAACTCACTCGCACGTAGTCAGGTGGTGCAGACTTTACTCATGGGCGCTGTTCAATTTATATCCCCAGTGAAGCATACAATTTCTCTTCTCTTGAAAAGGTATTTTGAGCTCTGCTACCTACAACTTGTGTAATTGTGGCTGTTCTTCATATTTCAAGCAGGTAACTGATAACTAGACTTTTGAGATAAAGGTGTTCTTAGGTTTATGCAGCTTTATTCTCCCTTCGGCAAGGGGAAACCTTTTGTGCTTCTTAATCCTGCTGTTCTCATGGCTAACCTCCTAGATTATTTTTGGTTTTCTAGGGGAAATAAGTTGTCAGTATGTAAATCTGTTTTGTCAAAGCGGCCAGAATTGAAGAACAGGTAAACTGTTATAGGAAAAGTTGTTTTGTATGTTTTGAGAGAGGCTATTTTTTAAATTCCCATTGCATTTATGATTTAAATTGCCTGCTGCTGCACTCTGTTATAAAGTTATCTGTGCTTATTTTAGTTGCTTAGCATAAAACGCAGAGCAACTTGGAGATCTGTCTACTTGTCCATGCAAAGCTTTGTTTAAAAAGGTGGATGAAAGAAAGTAGCTAATTGGTGTTAATTTACCATGAGAAAGAAGAGATAACTTTGGGGAGGAGTTAGATTCGTTTCTGCCTCATTAAGATAAAAGTTTTCCTGAAAGTCCCCCTGACAAGTGTATGGCTGTCCTAAATAATGCTTTATTGCCCAGCAGTGCAATGGACTGTATTGTGTAAGCAGTACGTGGGAGTGCATTACAAGCTCTTGTGCAATGCAGGCATTAGTGCTTGTATCAATTTCCATGTTGCTGTGGCACTTCTAAAAGGTACCCATAAATAAAAAATGGCAATTGCTTGACAACTTTTCGTCTCTGAGGTGATTTATGCTACAGCTTTGGAAAGTGGTGGTGTTTATATTTTGAGCTGTTGAATTACCATTTTTAAAAAATAAGTACTGAATATTCCCACATAGCTTTCTCTGTGTCCCCTAAATGGAGAATACAAATAATTTTCATCTAAAGAGTGAGTTTTTTCTTTATTTTTTTTTTCCCCGCCCCAATCTACCCCAGTGTATTTCTTTGTTCTTTGAGCTCAAATGCTGGGCCAAGGTGGGAGCAAGCGTGTAGGTGTGAAGAACAGTGCTCCTTCTTTCTCCTGGACCCAAAGCATAATCAGCCAGAGAGTTTGACATTTTAGGTTCCTGTAAAGGTGGAAAAAAAAAAAAAAAAAAAAGGTCAAAAACCCTTTGGAAGGCAAATTCCCTGCATCCTAAAACTGTTAAATCATTAAAGTGTCTACTTTGCTTTCTTATGTGTTGATGATGCTTCTGGCAGAAGCAATAACTCCCCTAATTTTCTTTGTTTTGCTCATTGTGAGAATGTAACATCGGGTTTTACCTGGACACACATCTCTCTGTTTTGGGAGATGGCTCATGCATGGACAGTATGAGACTTAGCTGGCTAATTAGACTGCATAACACCAGATCTAATATAAAAATCCCTAAGACACTAGCTGGCAAGATGCAAATAGAGAGGGATTTCACTGAGGTTACATCACTGTTGCCATTAATTAGGAGCTGAAGTGAATTGGGTTCTTGATGTCCAGCTACTTTCTGCTACATAGAAAAGCTCTTTTAATGCTAATGTATTCAGACTCCTTGTGTGGTATGTGTACAGAAACATTTTCAAAAGGATTATTCTGAAAATGCTGCAAGTGTGTGCCAGTATGTGTGTGTATGCACGCCTCAGCAGTGGGGGAGTTGAAATTTCACTGCAGGATAGCTAACGCTTTATATAGATAATAATATTCTTTTGCAAAATAGTTTATTGGACATTAAAGTAGGAGTTACATTTCTGATTTGTTTGTGGTTTGTATGGAATGCCTAAAATTAGTATAGGGAAACTCTAGTCAAAACAGTTGACCACAACACGAGTTGACAGCTATAGTGACCATACGCCTGAACCACAAACGGCTGTGTAATAGGTAGTCCAGATATTTTGATACTAGAAATGACTCTTCAACATTAACTCCTTGAGATTCAATACTGTTACCAATGCTGTGGGAGAAGGGTGGATGTAAAATGGAATAAAGAGCTGACATAAGAGTAGCAATTACTATTTAGCACTGAAGACAAGCATAGGAAGCAGGAAGTTGTTATTCGTGTGTGTGTGTGTGTGTGTGTTGTGGGGGCCAATAATTTATTTAGGTCATGTGCAACTTCTCTATGTTATTTAGAGGTTAAAAGCTATACAGATAACTTATTTTCTTAATTACGAATCCTAGCAATTCGTAATACTAGCTGTTCTCAGTAGGCTGTGCAAGCATTTTGACACCCATCAGCTTAAGCTTATCCAACACATGAAAGGCATATATAACAGAGATATCTAAGAATAACAGAAACTGGAAAGCATATGCAAATCGACACAGTAGCCATTAACTTTACTCATTTGAAACCTCATTTATTTGCATTATATTTGAAAGATGTCTTTGAGATGAGCGGCTTCTTTATTTGGCCTGGGGAGCTGACATTTCAGTGAGACAAATCAAATGCAGGCACAAGCATGTGACAAATTGCAATGAAAGAGGTCTTTTTTTTTTTTTTTCCTGTGTGTGTGTGTGTGTGTGTGTGTAACTGATGAGGTATTGGAATGAAACCCAGCCAGCTTTGCTTTGTGGTCACGTAGTTCAGGTAACACATGCCTGAGTGACTTCTAAAGACTCTGCAGCCTTGCAGCCAGAGCCGTCCTGTGCTCCTGCTACTGGATAATTAATGTGTCCCTGCTTCCAGGCAGCAGAGGACACCTGCTTTTTACCATTCTGTTTTTCTGAAGCGTCATATGTCATATAATAAGTTATAAACTGCAAACATAACATTAATTTAGTATTATTTCACAATCATCCTTCTATTGAAGGTTCTTCAATGTGTGAAATTATGCGAAATACGCAAAATTGAAGTCACATCTGTCTAAATCTATTTATCTTTACATATAAATTTCTTTAAATAACAGGAAAATCCAAAAAGGTGTTCAAATAAATGAAAACAACATATACAATTAACGCAGGTGATAGTACTAATTCACTTTATGTATAGTGCCCTCGTATATAATAGTTAATTTTTAAAGGTCATTTTACTCTGTGCACATATTCTGTGTAAATGTTCCCAGGTGCTACCATTTGGTTTCCCAAAGGATCACAAAGCTGACGTGGTCATACAATAGGTTTCTATACTGTAGTTCTTAAAGTCCAGGTAGCGTCAGCGTTATTTCAGTGGACATCTACAGAGTTATATGAATTTTTGTCTGTAATTATGTTTGCAGGATTCAAGAGCCTCGTTGATATTCTCTTATGTGACATCTTGTACAAGTTAGGGTAATGTGTCTATTAATGTAACCCTTTAAACTAGCCTCAGCTACTCTGGCATGGACCAGCTCATCAGACAAAACAAAAATAACAGTAGTAAGCATTTCCTTCAGTTAGTATTGTGTTGGAGAATGGCATCTTCTGAATGATTTGATAAAGCCAGACTTGAATATTTTGTACAAAAATATCATTTCTTATTTTTCTGTATACAGCAACAAATAATTTTAACCATCAAATAACAATTTAACCCAAAGTAGTATTGTCTTTAAAAACAAACAAACAAAAATCCTGTTTGCATCCCAAAATTCTGCTGGGTAAGTAGCTATTTCTGTCCTTTCCATTTTCCCTTCATGAGCTGGTCGAGGGGCTTCTGGTCTCTGTGTTAGGATTTATGGTTCTTTGTCTGTCGCTTTGGTGTTTTGTCTGTTTGTTCTCCACTAAACAGTTAATTTTTTCCATTTAAAGGTGGAGAGTCTCCTGGTAGTTGATTAGTACATATGATGTTTCATTTAGGAATTATTGAACCGATCTATATGGTAATGATGTTCTGCTATTTGCATTTAAATTAGATGAATTATTTATCAACTATCAAACATATCCCTAAAGCGTAGCACAGTAGACTTAATAAAATTATTTTCTATTGTCTTTTTTCTTATACAGGTTTTTGACTCCCTGTTTCTCCCTCTCCACCTTCTGTTATCCCCCCTCCCCGCCCCCCAAAAAAACCCTGGTATTTATATAGGAAATCTGTTGAAATTTCTTACTTTAAAAATTAATTTTCTTAAGTTTGCTATGCATTAAAATTTATTTTACACCAAAGGCAGACCTTCTAAACTTTGTTTTAATCACTCTTGAATATGTTGGTGGAAAGATTCTTGCTTGTAAGTTGTTACTATTTTCTATAATAATATAATTACCACAGTCAAGATTAGCAAGTTATGTGTTTGATTCCTTGTTATTTTCTGGTTTTGAACAGAGCTATTAAAATGTTCAGATTGCAATCCAGGCACTGAAACTTTGTGAGACGGAGTATAGATATACATGAATTTCTTTTTTCATTTATTTAATTTTCATTCTGATGCACACTTAGAAATTAAAAGCCTGAAGAAATTTTTATTCTGAAGATATTAGTCAATAACCTTAAAGTGTATTTTTATTGCACTGAGTAATTTCTGTTTAATTCAGGCAGGATTTTTTTTTATCTAGTGGCAGGCCGCAGGTGTCCTAGGATCTCAGCTGTTTGTCTAATTCAAACTGAAATCAACAGCATTGGATTTATTAATATTTCATTTGTTTGAATGCCAATAAGGGATTACAGTTGCGCTTGAGTTGGGCCTCAGTGGTTTGTCAAGCTTTGCCAGGAAGTGGTTTCTCTATCTTGCTTGCACACATCGATGTGCAAGGTGGCTGATGGAAAACAATTGGGCACAAGTCCATCTCTCTCTCGTCTCTGCCTCTGGAGTCCTGAGGCAAGAGCTTGGGAATGCTCCAAGTTGCCCAAAGTATTTGCTGTACATGTCAGCCTGTGTTGACACCCTTTCAACTCTTTCTTTTTTCTTTTTTCTTTCTTTTTTTTTTTTTTTTTACCCTGTTCAGATATGTTTAAAGCGCAAATCAGAGTGTGTGTGCCAGATTTGGGGCCTGTCAAGCTCAATCATATCTACTGTAATCTCATTATACATGTCCTGCTAAGCTCTGTGCACTACAGTGTATTCAGCATTGCAACTAAAGAGCCCGTGCTATGTAACTTCTATTTGCCTGAAATCATGTTTGTAAGGACCTTTAATAAAAAGCATGAATTGAGCATTTTCTCCATGGACATATTTTTTCATAGTTAAGTTCACTGCACATTTCTCTAAATAAAGCTATTTCTGGCTTGTTTCAGGTACAAGATGCTAGTCTAGTTGCACAGTTGTGTGTGATGTGGTATAGAAACTCCTTTACCAGAAAGGCACAACTTCCCTCCCCACCCACCCCTCCTCAGAAAGCACATGGAGTTTTAAAAAGAAATGATATGATGTATAAAGTGACAGTCAATTTTGCATTGCAGACTTGAAAAATGTGTGGAAGCTAAAGAAGAACTAGAAGCAGATCTCTATAATCGGTTTATTCTAGTGCTGAATGAAAAGAAGGCAAAGATAAGAAACTTACAGAAGTTGTTGCATGAAGCTAAAGAATTCGCAGCAGATGCACCACGTAGAAGGTATTTGTTAATTCCCAGCATTACTTGTATCATGTCTGATGCACGTGTTTTCATTTCCCGGGTTGTAGAGGCGAGTGGGATAGCATCTCTTTCATGGATAGATGCTTGGCTGTCCAAACCAATGCATTTAGTCTTGAAAGCGAAAGAATTTTAGAGTGCCGGTGTAAATAGCAGGCTATGGTTTTTTAGCCAGGAGCTAAGTAGTTGTTGAATTCCTTTACCATTATTTTCTCTTTGGATGTAGCTGACTTTACCAACACAGTGTGACTCTGCTGTTTCCATAGATGGCACTTGAATGCAATTACCCTCAGTTGTTTGATTCCTATTGTTCTTTGGGAAATGTAAATATCCAAATTTGAATTTGTACTCTTAATTTAAATATCTGTATTCATGTACTTCTTAATTAAAAAATATTCAGAAAAGATGTATCATTTCAAGGATATGATATGCTTTAACTTGTCTCCTATTTTCATCTCACTTTTTTGTACTTTCTGTTTCATTTCATTTATTTCATTTTTTCATTTCATTCATCTATTGTTGTCTATCTTTGTATCTGGATATTTTAAGTTGTTCAGGATATCCTATATTACCTTGTATTCATAGTGCCTATTAAGACTGCGGAAATAATCATAAATTTGTTGCAGGAATACTAGATGAAAAAGCCTTTTTTTGTTTGTTTGTTTGTTTTTGTTTAGCGATAGCACTGCTACAATTGAAACGGCTCCAGAGAGAGGCAAGGAGTATGATGGCAGCACTGATGAGGAAAGTGAAAATTTAACACAGTCCTCATTACCAGCAGGTAAGAGAGAATTTATTGTCATTGGGAGTTATCGCAGACAGGTGAATTACTTTACATGAATAAACCTTATTGAAGACCTGACAGATTGCCCTGTGACAAGCCAACCTGCAAGCCTTAAAAATACCTTTGTGAGGTAGAGTATAATACTGACATTTTCAAATTAAAGAAAGGAAGTTGAAGAGCATGCTGCGCGGGTGAAGATACTGTCAGTTTCTTTCAAAATGGCAAATTACATACTTGGCAGAACTAATGACAGTCTAACAGTATCGGAACTATCAACAATTCCATTTTAGATTCTAGGAGCCATGTGTACACAGGGAACTGCTCAAGTGTAAAATGTAACTCCTGACAGTTTAGCTGGTGTTTGAAGAAAGAGGAAAAAAGGGGAGGTTTAACTGCAGTAAGAAGAGCTGTGCACTCATTCTGCATCACATAAATGGAACAAAAATATATTTATAGCAGAATTAATTTTAATTTGACAAGGAAATTTTGGTTTTTGAAGGTACTCACAAAGCTTAATTTGACTTAATTTTTCCAGGACTGAGGAAAAGCAAAGTAAAATGGGGTATAGCAACTGCCATTCTGTAGTGTAACCTATATATATTTAAAAAAAAAAAAAAAAAAAAAAAAAAAAAGGAAGTTCATCAATAACATTTTGGCATATTGTGCCAGGTACTTGGAATGTGCAGGATGAATGCCACCAGAGTTTTAAATACCATGACAGCTGCCTTGTAGCTGCTGTGAACTTCTTTTCAAGTTTGTTGATTTTACTGTGTACTCTGTCCCTGGATCTTTCCATTTCTCCTACAAGTCAAGGCAGCTACTTAATAAAACTTTAACTATGCGTTAGAGAGAACCAGGGACATTCAAAACCTCTCAATAAGTGGTATTCAAGTTCGCAGTTCATAGGAGCAGGTATTTCGAAGCTTTCTAAGAAATATGCAGCAGACAGAGCTGCTGACAGATTTAGAAAGGTGCTTGCACAAAAAAAATCTGCAAATATCTAAAGAAATTGTCTTCTATGTGCCCTTCAGTTCTAAAATCTTTACCTTAAAGCAGTACTTGGTAAGCTCAGATAATGTAGTGAAAAATATATTTAGTTAAAAGGGCACAGAAAAGTGAAAGGTATTGATTCTTCTGCTGGATTCAGTAAGCTTCAGTTACTTGGATAGTTTAGAGGCGGATGGGTGATTTTAAAAAAGAGAAAAAAAAAACAATTCAAAAAATCATGAGTTACTGGACTGAGTGATCATCAAGATAGTAGGCAGAAATTGGCAGCACCTGTGTTTTTGAGTTGTGAGAATAAGCCTTCTGTTGCCTTTGAGAGAGAAAATGTTCAGCATTCTAATTGTCACTTCTCTGCAAAATTTGAATATAATATTAAGACGATAAACTTTGTGTAGTGCTTTGCCTAACATAGTCATTTTTTGGCGGGGGGGGCGCTTTTTTAGTTTGTTTGTTTTTCCAGAAACAATACATGAACCCACATAGTATCACTTTAGGTCAGATGTTACTCGATCGTGTTACTGCTGTAAACCATTCTCTTTCCTTATGAGCGAGAAGGAGATGTTCGGGAATGTTTTAATAGGTATTGCTGAAAGCCACAATCAAGAAAAAAATGTCCTGATTTATGAAATACTTGGGAATAAGGTGAAAGCAGGTATATATGTGTGTGTAAATCACAATGTTAGCATGTCTTTGTATGCATGCATGTCCAAAAGACAAAAAAGAAAAGCATAAAAGCTCTTTATGTTAGCATAAAAGTAGCAGCTATAGGAAATGGCTAAAGAAAGCTAAAGAATATGAAGGCAGAAATGTCAGGCCAGGAGACAGAAGGCCAATGACCAACCTTCAGGTAAGTTGAGAACAAATATACAGTGTTAGTGGCCTCTTAGTATAATGACAAAAATTCACTGGGAGCTCTGAAAAAGCAAGCATATTCAGCAGATATTTTTGTTCCATTTTTGCAGAGGACGGGAAACTCATGTGGATTGCCATGTCATTCTAATGTCATAGCAAATAAGGGGCAAATGAAACAGCAGCTGCAAAATACAGATATTTTAGAATCAGCAAGTCAAGATACTTTGAGTTGTAGAATTTGTAAAGTTGGCAAAGGATTTTACTTGGCTGCCACTGTCAATCCTCCTAGAATTTCCTGGGCACTGAGGGCATTTCAGGGGATTTGGGAAAAGCTGCCAGTATTAACAGCATGGAAAAGTGAATGGTTCATTCAAATATATAAGTGTGTCAGCATGATGTTAATCTGGGTCAACTGGTAGAGCAGGACTTCATAAAGAAAAATATTAAGAGTAAGAATGATTAATCGTAAAGATGAAGAAACTAGGGGTTGCAAACTAGGTAGGTACTCAAAATGAGATTACCAGCTGTTTGCTGGAAATACTATCAGTGAAGTAATAGGCTTAGACTTCTGTGAGGCATTGAACTGCACCATGCTTTATTTACAAATTTGGTATAGGAAAACGAGCATAATGCATGGTAAGTGGGTTCTGAAATGAGGTAAAATGTAATTGTAAAGTTATCACTCACCGTATCTGCTGAGTGTGAGATTGAAGGTAATTTATATAAACCTATTTGGGTTTCATGATACGCTGGCTAAAAACAAATTGTGTTAATTCTAATACTGTGTACAACAGGATAAATAACTACTGGAGCAATTGGGGCAGGCTACGGTAAGTAAGATTTTTTTAAAAAAAGACAAAATCTGGTAGATCTGAGAATTAATTTAAAGAAATCCATAATCTCTTTTATTTTGGGCATTGGAATCATCTATTGCTATGCTAGCTTTTTTTCTTTTACCTATAATATCAGATAAATAGCAAATTAGAACCATTTTGTTTGCTTGCTACAAAAATGAGGTGTTTTGCTTGCACGTGAATTCTCAACAAGACTGTCAAGTAGGTTTTCAACCTCCATCACAACAGGCTGCATTTATCTGTTCAGATAAATTTTATGTCAGGCTGTTTAACTTACAGAAGAATTTAACCTGTAACATAAAAGTTAACCAAAAATTGTGTTCTTTTAGTGCTTACAGTACAATTAGTAGATATGATTTATAGTTTGTGGTTCGACTGCAATGTCTGCTTCATGGCTTAAAGCCAAAATCAATTGAAACATGGTAGTTTTTGCCTACACACTTTTGTAGCTGATGCTTTTGGTGGTATAAAAGTACCAAGTAAAATTGAATTACAGATAAGAAAACTACTGATATGAGAAGTACAACTTTCATAAATAATGCTGTGTGGCTTTCTGTATGTCTGTCCATCACACGGTGTGCACGGGGGAAATTTATTTGGCCTGTTGGTTAGTAGTGTCAGTGCAAGACTGAAAATGATACTAAACTGTCACTTTCACTGTAGTGCTACTGCTATTTTGACTAAATTCTGGTAGTTTTGTAGATGCCTTGTGTTTGAGGCTAATGATACAGCATTACTGCTGTCATACTTGTTTTTCTTCCCCGCTGCATGCTGCAGCACAAGTAGTCTTGCACTTGAGCTTCTTTTAGTCAAAGGTCCAGTGTTTTGCTGTGCTTGTCTGGTGCCTAGCATTTTAGTGTCATTGTTCTGGGTTAGGGCTTCCAGGTTCTGTGAGGGCAGAATTATATGCACCCAGATGAGAAGTAGCTGGAACAGGCTTGGAGAAGACCATAGAGAGTTCTCTTCATCTTCTCTTGTTAACAGGAACTATATTAAAAGAAAAAAAAATCAAAAAACAAAGTCCATAAAACAGTGTTTGAAAGGATACGAGTAAAGGGAAGATTGCTCCTTCTCCTGGGAACTTGGAGACTGTTGGGATAGTTATATGCTGTGCTACATATAGTTGTGAAGAATAATCTAGTAGACAGAAGGCTAGGGAAGAGTAAGTTCTTGATTTATTAGTGCTGTCATCAGGACCAACATGAGGATTGAAAACTGTGCATCAAAGGCTATCAAACATGTTCTTACCACCACCGATACTGAGGTAAAGGGATACCCCGTTTTTCAAAAAAGAAAGTTATGGACTGTATTAGCCTCAGAACATGTTTCGGACCCCTGTGCCGTGAAATGGAAAGGGAATGTTCATCCTGTGTACAGTTCTGTTCTATGTGGCAGCCTGTTGTCAAAGTGAAGCTGCTGGGCAGCAATTTGCAGTCAGCTTTCTCTCTCTTTCATTTTCTATTGCTCATTAATTCCTTAGTGATATTTCATATTTCATATTGAAATCAATGGAAGTTGCTGCCCTTTGATGGTAAGGAAGGCCCTGGTGGTCTAGTCTGTGGATTTAAATGAAATTTGGATTAAATTAAATTTTATGTTCTCTATTAGCTGCCAGAGGTAAGGAAATAGTCTATGTTAAGTGAATCCTGAAATTTTCTGCAGTCATACATTTCTACATGTCTCCTTGGGAGCACAGATTCTGATTAGGTTCTAATAAGCTTGCTGAAATGCCCCGAATAAATAGCAGCAAGCACCTTGCCATTTCCCACTGTGTTAATGTGCAAATATTCCCATCCCCTGAATTCAGGATCCTACTTTGGGGTTTAAATGTTGTGCCTTCAGGAGTCTATGACCCTTTAAATTTAATTAGTTCCCTTGTGTAGTCCAAGCCACTGATGGCTTGGTGCTGCTGGTTAATAAGCTTTGATCAAAGTTATTAAAAAAATGCCTGTTATTATAGCACCCAACTGCGCTGTTGTTACTAGAGTTCCATCTGTCTGTTTTAAAGCCTATTTTAGAACTTGACTATTTTAATTCAGGCTTATTTTTTTTGTCAAGATGTAATTAGAATTGGTTAATTCCAAGGAATAATCTCCCCCCTTCCTTCCCTTAAAACTGTAGAGACTTTTTTTTCTGAAGTTCTGATACAGATCCATTTTTTATGTAACCTGATGTTTTGATGCCTGTAAAACATTTGACCTTGCAGAACTACTTCCCATCTCTGTTGCACGAGATGCATTAGCCATCATACAGACACAGCACAATTTTCATATATTAATGTTTTCC